GACCTTAGTTGAGAAATTGGGGTTAGTATTATTTAAGCACCCTAGACCTTATAAATTACAATGGTTAAATGAAAGTAGAGAAGTTAGGGTGAATAAATGAGTGATGATTGACTTCTCGATTGGGAGTTATAGTGACAAGGTGGTATGCGATGTGGTGCCTATGCATGCGGGCCATATTTTGTTGGGAAGACCATGGCAGGACGATAGAAAAGTTACACATTATGGATATAGGAACCGGTATAGCTTTGTCAAGGAGGGAATGTCTATTACTTTGGTGCCATTAACACCGGCACAAGTTTATGAAGACTAGATTAAATTGAGAANACCTACGTAGTCAAGAAAACTCTCCGGTAGATGGTATTCTAGACGTACGTGGACGTCCAGGACCACGCGATTCAACTTGCGGTGGCAACAAACTATTAAGTGGGAGAATATGGTCGGGAACTTCCCACTCGCCTTTATTAGACAGAGGAAATATAGTCTCAACATATGCTACTCTACAATAATCAGCCGTGTAATAAGGAGAGCATAATGTCCTCGCTGCAAGCTTTTATACATAGCCACCGACTCTGCATTCTCACATGGGAAACTCTCCAACTGAAATTGACGACAAGTGCAGAGGCAGCACCATGTATGCCATATTACGTACACATTTCACAGAGAAGCGCAACTTATCCTGTGGTTCCACATACAACTTTCTCGCAAGTTCTGTAGCCTTGAAGAGTTTATCCTCTTGTGCCGAGGCTAGCACGCTAGTGCAACTTTGTGCTTCCGCACGTCGGTCGTGAAACCACTGCTGCAACTTGTTAGAATGTTCTCAATCATTGCAATGATTGGTAACTCTCCATCCTTTTTGAATAATGCGTTGAGACAGTCCGCATTGTTTGACGTCATCATGTTGTATCAACGAACTGAAAAATGTGATCGTACCCAATGTTCAATCCCCATATTTGTCAGATACTCTCATGCCAATAATGATATGCTTCATATTTCCACCCTGAACTTATTACACTCTTCAACACTATAAGTTTCGACCGTTCTCCTGAACAAGAAAACGATGCATGTGCCCCGAAACATAGTCTTAATGTTTCATTGTATATGGTACATGCAATATTCATGATGTGCCTCGAAAAATACTTCGACGATGCCATTTATTATAGACTGTCCCCGATCAGTTACGAAGGCAAGGTCCTCGACTTCCCCGATTACATCCCTCAGCTTTGTGAAGAATCAATACATGACAAATCATTCTCGCTATCGACTATGCCGAATGTAAGAAGGTAAATTGGGAAGTTGGCATCTTGACATGTAGCAATAATTAACTTGCCTACGTGTATAGCTTTCAGAGTTGTACCATCGACTAAAATTAGGGGTCACATCGCATTTCGAAATCCCTGAATGCATTATCCAAGAGCCATGAAGAAAAACTTAAAGCAATTCCAGCCCTCCGTCTCGATAAAAAAGGCAGAGCTAAGATTAGTTATTCCCATGTTATGGCAATACCTTGCCAATTTAGCATAGCTTTCCTTGGCCAAGCTCATTAAATCCTCCAATGCACATTCTTTGGCCTTCCGGCCTTCGATAGCTCATGATGACTCTGTAATCTCGACGGACATCGTTAATGATGTCCAAAGATCTGTAGATCATCTATAGATCTTGATACTTGTGCATTATCAGTCGATCAATAAATCATGCTCGAGCTTGCCTATGATATTTCGAGGAACTCCCATTTCCCAAGTATGTTCCCGTGCATACTTGCGAACTACAAATAACTCGTTTGTGTCCATTTTCGTCGCTCGCAAACGCCAATGGGAACTGTCGTTGACGCAGGCAATCGTCAACAATGCCTTGTTTAATTTCTTAACTTTGAACTTAAAATTGTATTTCAGTGCAATTCGATGCACAACTTCTTACAAATCTTTCTTTGTTTCGAACAGTTGATCAACGTACAAATCCTCATCATCAAGAACCACACACGAAGAATTAGACAATGGTCCAGTTGTTCTAGCCCCTGCGTTCCCACCCTCTCATATCTCGACGGGATAAAGCAATCAAATCCTCATTTGTAAATTCATTGTCATTCTCGCTATCGTGAACTATCGACAGAATTTTGTGTGTAACAGTGAGATCACGATCAGGAACAATTGGCTCGAGAATAACCACATCATCTTCACGAGCTATCTCAATTGTGTCCCAAAAATCATTGGTATTGTAATCCCCTCCATTCGAATTTTCGTGTTCAACTTCGCGACATCCTTCCTCACTAAAGTCACCCAAAAAGGAGTCGTGTACATTTTGTTCAATTCAAATAGATAATTCACTTCTTCATCACAAGTAACCTTTATAGGTGGAATTGAAATAGATGAATCATCCTTGAACCGAAATCTCAGTTCTATATCGTACTGAGAGGGGTCAACATTCAGCTTGTTTTGTAAATCATGGTACATTCCCTCATATGATGTACTCTCCATTATGGAAATTAGAGTACCACCACGTTTATCGTTTATCCATCTCCATACCCATCGATCTTTCTCATCAATTTCGAAATCACCAAAGTAACAAACTGTTATTACAACCATATCTGCAAAAGAAAAAAATATTTTTTTAAGAAGATATATAGTCAAAAATTCGGCTTCTAACATGAATTTTTTTTTTAAAAAAGGCAAAACAGCCAAAATAGAAATTTTTAAAGAAAATACATAGTCGAAAATTTAATTTTTAGCAGAATTTTTTTTTTTAAAAAGGGCGAAATAGCCAAAACAGATTTTTAAAAGAAAATATATAGTCGAAATTTCGATTTTTAACAAGAATTAAGAAAAAAAGACGAAACAACCAAAACAGTCGACTGTTTTATCTAGCAGTCTACTGGCTGTTTAAATAGCCGACCAGATGTTTAAACAGCCGATCAACTGTTTCTCATCAGATCTATTTCTTCTAAAAGATGCAGATGAATTTTTTNAGATGCAGATGAATTTTTTTCTTTTTTTTTTTTAAAAAAACTATAGATCTGTTAAAATTTTTTATCTACATTAACTATTTATATCGAAATAAATTTAACGATTAAAACGTATATTGATTTAACGAAAACGAAATTAAACATAAATAAATATACTTACTGATTTGAAGTGGTTGACATAAAAAAAATTCAGGCTTCAGCGTTTGATAAATTTTTCAAATTTTAAGGTTGAAGCAGATGAAAAATGAGAGAGTTTTTATTTGTGTAAAAATAAATAGATAACAAAAGTTAGTTGCTTTTGAAATTTTACACAGTGAGTGTTTGATTTTTATTTGTTAACTAAATGGTAGTATTATCTTTTAAACAAAACAATATTTTGTAATTGTTTTATATACTTAATGACGTTTTTGTCTGTTGCCATTAAATAGGCCATTGTGAAAATATGAATAAGTTGAAATGGAAATATGGCCCTTTGATCGGGTCAATTTTAAAAGTAACATTTTGTAGAAGAGTTCTTGAAGATGCTATTTTAATTTTTTCGGTTTTTACTTAGACAAACCACTTACAGGAAATAACCAAAACATATTCAAATGTAATTTTTTAGTTTTAAAAGTAGTTTTAGAATTTTAAAAAGCTCTGTCAAACTGGCTCTAAATTCATTGCTGAACATAAAGGGAATGTTTCATTGAGAAATTTTGCTTTTGGAAATTCATTCGCTATTAATTTTTTTTTTTTTGAGTTGTAGTTCATTTGGCTCCTTTATGAAAGATGAGTAAATTCCTAAATCTAAGACATGAACAAAACTCTACCCATGACACCTATGTCAACCCACAGGAGTTCCAGTGGAGGGTCAGGACCCAAATAGACAGAGACCTAAGGCAGTCTACCCCAATGCCTGAGCTAGCTTTTTCTGTAGCTTAATCAACTATTCATAAATTATTTTAAATTTGTCCAAACCATCCATGATGCATGAGTTTTATTAACTTAGGTTACACCACAATTTAGATATTTCATCTGAACGGCTTTTTGAATAATCCGAGGGTTCTTTAAAAGACTTTTAAATTATTAATATGATTATTTTAAAAATTACCGATCTATTTTGTCCCCTCAACTTTCAACTAAATAAATATACATCATTTACTAGGCCATGACTTCAGTTGCCATGCCCAGTGGATTGCAACAAAATTTCCATAAATCTTTTAGACTTAGGGTTGACAAAAGATAAAAGTTGAGCTAATTTTACTGTCACGTTTGATTTTACAAGAGAATATGTTGGTAATAATATCGACATATTGCAATTTTTTTTCGTAGAATAACTACTGTTACTACTAGGTAATATAGCAAAATTCACAAGAACAACTTTCTTGTCTAAGAACAGATAAATTCTGAAAAATATTCCCAAATTTAAAAGGTCAAAAATTCATTAATTCTTACTGGAGTACTTAATAATAATAATAATTAATGAGAATAAATTTTCAAAATATTCCCTTACATAAAACTGAACATAATATGACAAGATAAGAACCATATAAACAAATAGCTTCAATTATCTTTCAATCATGTCTATTTTACTATACACAAAATGTGTGGTTCAATATCATACACGATCGAAAGATAGTAATATCTACCTACTTCTATCTTTTACCCATGATTCTGTGTGGAATAAGGAGTCCCCAAGCTTCTTACTGATTTAATATGCTTAGACTGACACGAAAAAATGTTCATTTTTCCTTTAAAAATTTGAAAAATTAGGTACCATGTCAATTTTAAAGTTTTCTGCTGAGTGATAAAGATAATTGACAAAAACAACTTGAAAAGGAAATATAGTTAATATAATTAAATAAATATTAAAACGAGTGAATGTGCATTGAAATGTCACTAGCGAATAGCCTACCCAACCACTAACTTTGCAAGTCAATCACAAACTAAACCAATATTGAAATTACAAGTAATCTTCCCAAGTCAACATGCAACAAAAATAAAGCATAAACAATCAATTCCTTATTTGATCCTCTCCTATTTCTTGAATCTAAAGCATTTCTTGATGGCATTTCATCATAGAAAGTTTTTGTTAGTAGATAAGAAGACTGAGGATGAAAAGAAGTATGGAAATTGTTACACTTGTTATTATTACATTTCACCGCCGCCACCTCAACTGCCATTGTCGCCGTCGCTGTCCCCATCACCGTCGCCGCCGCCACCACCATCTCCGCCCCTGGCTAGCCCGAAACATCATATGTCAACAATTTTGATCCTCATCATCTGTGTTCTTGGTGCTACTTCTATGGTTATCTCCTATCTTTCTATAAGGAGGTATCGGTCAAGGAATCCCCAGTGGAGAAATTCGGTATCATTGGAGAATAGTGCCCGAGAGGATTTTATCGATGAAAATCAAGGGCCTGTGGTGGACCATCCTATATGGTATATACGTACAGTTGGGCTACATCAGTCCATAATCGATTCTATAGCAGTTTTTAAGTACAAAAGTGGGGAAGGTTTGATTGAAGGTACTGATTGTTCTGTTTGCTTAAGTGTATTTCAAGAAAATGAGAGTCTTAGACTGTTGCCCAAATGTAGCCATGCTTTTCATGTCCCATGTATCGATACCTGGTTAAGGTCAAACAAACATTGTCCCCTTTGTCGTGCCCCGATTGTCAGCAATACGAATGCTGCTTCTCAGACGAATGAAGTGGACACTTATTAGAATAATTTGGGTTCGCAAGAGGAAGAACACGAAGTAGAGACGAATAACTGGTGAAACGAGAATTGGCGCAGAAAATATTGGTGTTAGTCTCGATGGTGGTAAGTATCGAGTGCTAAGTGATTTGGCTGATCATCGTGCAAAAGTCGACAGGGCGTTGCAACAAACAGTTAGAAGATCAATTTCTATGGATTTTTCATCTACTTCTACGATCTGTAATACTGCTAACGTTCGTGGAAAGAAAGAAGAACAAAATCCTTATGCAGCTTCGAGCATATATAGGCCGATAAAGAGTCTTTTATATGTGCGTTCCATTCAAAAGGTGTCGATATCAATGAAGAGGTACTTTTCGATTAACCCAAACACTTAGTACTAACAATCGAGTTTTTTAAATTGTTGCATCTAATTACTGAATATTACTTCACCAGGTTTACCATGGAATTCTCGAATTCCCAGTTGTATATAGAACAATGAAATGTAAATATGATTTGTTCATGTTCTTATGTCAGACTTCTGATACAATGCCCGATGAAGCATAGAATAAAAAAGTAGTCATGTTAGTAGTATATGCTATTTTTATTCAAATTTCGGTGTTATCGTTTAGTAAAATCATGTACCTGTTAAGACTTTGATAAAATATAAATTTAATGGAAGTATTTGATAAACATATTGTTGGAAAAATGGGTGATTCGTGTGTAGATAAACATATCAACTAATAAGTATGAATACCATAATTCAATAATTATATAAACACAAGAATATTTTAATAATATAAACATTATAATTCAACAATAAGAAGATTGTTAGAATGCAAATATTGTGGAGTCACGTCAAGAACGTTGTCCTAAAGTTTTGTTGCCTCCCCTTCACGTAGGTATTTTCGACACTACATGGCTTCAAGATAAAATTCATATGACTGGTTCTCTTTCTATGGACATAACCATAAACAGATAAAAAATGAGTCTTTATCAAGTTTCAAAAGTATAAAAGTATAATATAAAATGTATATGGGAGAATAATTCTTTTTACTTGTGTTTTTTAGTTGTATCTCAAGTTGTATGCAAATTATAAAATCTCCTTCCCTCTTATAGTGTAAAACTTCTCTCACAATAATGAGAGTTATACCAATTAAAATGCATGTTACACATTTATTTTAAGAGATTTCATTATACATTAAAAGTTGATATTAAAAATCAAAACTTCAAATTAATAAT